TCCGATTCTGTAGTTTACCTAAAAAGGCGTATCTCTCTCCTGCCACGTCAAATTTCATAAATTTTGTAAAATTGAATAGAAGCCAGCTACCGTATCCCAAATGCCACTCCCTAATCGCTCATTTTTTGTATTTTTCTAGACGACCGGGTTTTGCCGTCCCGTTTCTTAGCAACCAAGGCGCGCCCTTATCCCCTGACTACGAAATTTCTGAATCTAGGGCGTCCGAGGAGATTTTATGAATTGAGATTGCAGATTTCTGAGCTGATTATCGTTTATAAAACGTTTATTAATCATTAGAAAAACATATATAAAATGTGTGCAAAATTCAATTTTCGTAAAAGGTTGAGACTTGAAATTTCGCAGTTTAGAGGTTTTTGGCTTGGCTTTCTGGCTTAAGGTGTTTAAAAAGATAAAAAAGCACTATATGATACAGTAACTTAAATTTTATTCAAAAAAAACTTACTAATTGAATACAATCACCTAATCTTCTCCTTTTCAGGGCTTAGCCCTCAACGCGGGGCCGAAGCCCCGGCACCGGGCCGGGAGCCTGTAGCCCAGGCCGGTGAGTTATTTTTATTTTTATCCTTATTTTGAAAAACTTTCGCTGATTTTTACTAAATTCGAAAACCGTACGTTTTTAACGTGAAACTACCATAAAACCCAGTACTCCTTGTTGTCGATCGCCCCATTAATCCTGACATTTTCAGGGTTTGGCCAGTCGACACTTGCGCGCTACTGGTCGAGTAGCTGAGTGAGTTTGTTTTTATATATTTTAAATAACGAACCAAAAACAGCGGCAGATTTTTTATAATATAAGGAGAACGATAAAATTTAAAAGAAGTTTGGATTTTTGATAGGACTTAGCGAATTTCGTGCATATTTTCACTATTTTTCATTATAAATGACTTCCAAATTATGTCGAAACATTTGAAAATCAAACTAGTCTATTTTCCTAAAATGTAACATATTTTCAACATTTTTCTGACATTTTTAAGCATCTAAAGCGGGAAATATAAAAATTACTGCAAAATTCCAAAATAATTTTCATTTTTCAGATATTGTGTGTTTGTGTTTCTTATGATGGAACTTTTCAACCCGGGGAATTTGTTTTGAAGAGGTATATTTTTATTAAGAAATTAAATATTCAACTGCAACCCACTTTCTAGTAACTAATAATCGCTAGATTTTCAGATATTAGATTCGTCGCAAGTGTCGTTGCGCCTCCAACCAAAGGTTGCCCTCCATGGATACGTATATTGGTTAGTTTTTGAATTTTCGCACCGCTAAATAAGTTGGCTTAGCGTGTAATCTACTCTTTTTAATGAATTTAAGGAAGAAAAACTGAGTAAATTAGCGTTGAAAATTAAAATATGAGAGATTTTTTACGAAACCGCGTGAAATTCACTAAATGATCCTAGAAATATCTAAATTAGGAATTCTCAAAAGCTATTTCACATCTGAGCTAGCAAAATTAACCAAAAATTGTAAAATTAGAAGAGAAGGACTAGTTAGTTAATTTATGATACCTAAAAATTACTGCCATAAAATTTTTAGTCAAGCTTTTTATTAAATAATGCTTCAAGAATAATTTACGACATATCAAAGTAATCGTAGCCATTATTCAAAACCAAAAGTACTGCTGACGTTCCCAAAAGTAACATCCAATTTTCAGATACCGCCTCTGCCCGTTCGTTCCTTCTCCGCCAATGCCGTTGATGAGCATCATTTCGCCCACGCCGCCTACGCCGCCTACGCCTGCACTACGTCCTACGTACGCTCACCACGTCAGTAGTCCCGGGAATCCCCCGTCCAAAGTGAAGATCAATGATTCAATGTGATAGCCAAAAAGGTTGAGCCCCTTTGAACAGCTCCAGCTTGCCCGACTGCCTCGGGCACCACCTCAGAAAGAGATTTGCGAATTGTTGAGCTAACTGAGCCAATAGACTCATGCGTACCCCTCCTCCGATTGACTACTACTGACGTTCCGATACCGCCGATACGCGTATCCCCTGCTCCGATTAGTCCTTACTGACGTACCGATACCCTGGCGTATCACCCCTCCAACTTGCCCGACTTGCAGTTGTTGAGACCCGGCTATCATAGCCAAAAGCGAGGCTTCACATTAGCTGATACTTACTTAGACCCTGGGAGGTCCCTAGGGGACCACCGCGACGCGACCGCGCAAACGGGACCCAATTTTCGGGGGCCCAGGCGCAGTGGCGGGGGCCTGGCTTCGAAACCCGATCCCTTCAGCCTCAAACCGCCCATCGTCTTCTCCTTCCCCTCAGCGGCGACCGCGACGCGCCTCCCCGCAACCGCGACGCGCACGCAACGCCTTGGCTCCCAACCCCCGCCCAACCAGGCCTGGATCCGGGTGCCCTTCGTCGCCTTCAGGCTGGGCCTGATCAACCCGGCTGCACGAGGCCCGAGGTACCTGGATTGGGTGGGATCGGATCCGCTGCGTTGCGTTCGCGTTGCGGCTGCGAGGAGGCGCGTCGCGGTCGCCGATAAGGGGAAGGATTTTGGCCTTGATCGCTTGGGGCTAGAGGGATCGGCTTTCGTCTTCAAGCCCCCGCCACTTCTCCCGGCTCCCCAAAAGTCGGGTTGCCGCTTCGCGGCCCTTTCGCGGCCCCTGGCCCCGCCCACTCGGCGTCGACACACTCGACCCAACCCCCCTTCGATTCCCGGTGAATTTCGGAGTAAAAAAGTGCGATTTCTGGCGATATTTTGAATAATCCAATGGAATTATTGTGGCGTAGTGTTCTGCTCAGAGCAATTGAGTTTGTTTCTGATTGCAAATAAAGGCGTGCTGTCCTTGCTGGAGTTGTTCATCTTCTCCATGGCGCGTACAAAAGGTGCGATATGTGGTTTTGTCCAAGTTAATAGTGCGGTTTTGGCGTAATTTGCCGTCCGGAGCAATTGAGTTTGTTTCTGGTGTGAAAAAAGCCTGCAGTCCTTGCCGAATTTGTTGTTCGTCTCCACGGCGCGTGCGAAATGTGGTTTTGACCGAGCCAATAGTGCGCAGCATTTAAATAGCGGGATTTTCGTGCAATTTCCCTTGCAGAGGATACGGTTTGCGTTTCGTACAGAAAAAGCGAGCTCTCAAAAGTTGAGCTATTCTTTTCAGCATTTGGATAAGTAAATTTGGCGATTTCAGAGATCTTTCAATATCGTAATCCATTTTTTACAGGCTTTTCCATAACCCGAGCTTTCCACCACCCCCCGGCCTGGCCCGGAAAATTTTTTCCGGGCCGCAAGTCGGGCCCCAAATTCATCAACCGGGGCCCGCAATTGGTCGTTGCCCTTAATGTTGTTATTTTCGGAAAAGGATTAAATTAAATTTTTTATCGGGCAACGGCTTGTTAATGTCTTCATTTTTTAGGTTATTGTTATTTTTTTTTATTCTGCACCCTCACCCTATTACCGTACCCAATTTTTCGACCGTTGTTGGGCGCCGGGTTTTTTGTGGGGGGAGCGAGAAAAGAGAGAGCAAAAAAAAGATGAACTACTGAAATTGGGTACCTTTTTTGTAATTTTCCACCTCTGTATGGTCCCTTTTTGGTGTTCTAATAAAAAATGTAATGTACAAAACGTGTTGAAAATGCAGGATACCAGAAAATGCATGAAATGACAGAAAAACTCGGAGTTTTTAGCGTGTCTCGACAGAGAATTCAGCTTGCCAAGAAATCTTTTTAATTTTGTTGTTTTGAACCCTAAAAACAACGAAATTTCTTCAAATCGCTTGTTAGAATTGCGAGAAATTAATTTTTAGCGAGAATTTTGGCTCAATATCTTTCTCATTTTGCATTTTAACTTATGCAAAAACCACAAACCTTTATAAAAATCGAACGTTACGAATCACTCCTCTTGGCGGAACGCCCGCAATGCGTTGCTGAAAAATAAACAATGAATTTTCGAACCGCAGGCAGTCACAAGTTCAAACTTTTTTGGGGCTTTTTTACAAGTCTAAACGATTATGATAGGTAATAAAAATTCCGGTTTGAAATTGAATGTTTTTCTGCTTTCAATTAAAACGAAAAAACCTTCGCAAAGATTAGGACGGACAAGATAGTCCTTTTAGTCACTATCTTTGGCCGATATAACGGATTACGCTATGAAATTCGATGAATTCCTCTTCGCAACGCAATGTCGAACCTTTTTGCTGGACTGATTGTTGTTCTTAACAGAATCTTAACAAAGTGTAGGGGCTTCTTCACATTTTTAAGAAGTTTTTTGGCCCGGGAAAAAGGTAAAGCTCCGGGCTAGGTTTCTAAAAGCCCATTGAAGGTAAAATTTAGGCTAAATTTAGCTAAATCTTTTCCATTCCAAGATTTCAAAACTTTTCCCTCCTTTTTTCTATCAAATTTAGCAATAAATTAACCCTAACGAAATTTGGTAGTTTTGTAGTAATAATTCGGATTATTCCGAGGGCCAAGGTCACGTACCAGCGCCAATATGCTTGCTGTCAATGCCATATTTTTTTCTTGCTGGTCCCTCTATGCCATGTGAGTTTCTTATCTATCTGCCATCTAAATCGCCCAAATATCGGCTAATCTGCTAATCGTCTAATCGGAGGTGGTCTTGGCGTTTGGGGCCAATCCTCACGACTCGATTCTTATTAACTTTCTTTTTCGCATTTCTTAGCGTTCCCCAGACCATATTTAAAGTTTCATAATTATACTCGAATTTCGGATAAGCTAATTTTGCGGAATTTCTCGCATTAATAGCTTTTACTGTGCTTCTGATCGACTTATAGGGTTTGGAATGTCTCAGATTCTGTTTTCTTGCGATGACGAGACAATCATCAAAACTTTTTTGCGCTTTTGTGAATTTTTGAGAGCTAGCTATTTACTTTTGAGCGTTTTGCAACGTTAATAAACTTTAAAAAGGGTTCTCAAGTGCCTGATTTAACTCATAACTTGATTTTTATACCTTCAGCATTCAAAAATCCAGAAAGCTCTGTCCAATACCTTCCCGCTCTAAATTTTACTGAGCAGGAGATGCTGCTCCGACTTGCGGCATTGGCCTTGCTGCTTTCTACCATCTATGCATTCTCATGCAAAGACCAGAGCAACAAGGATGTCGACTGGTTTATGGTCTACAAGATGCCGAAGGAAGTCGGTAGGTTGAGAAGAAGAGAGCGAGAGCGAGAGCCAGAGCGAGTGAGAGAGAGAGAGAGAGAGAGAGAGAGAGCGGAGAGCGAGAGTTACCCTAATTTCCAGACAACAGTGTCATCGACATCCAGCAGGGCCTTGCCTTCTACTACATGGACGTCAACGACCAGACCGCCTTGAAGCCCTCCCCCGAAGCGCTGAACAGCACCAGCCAGGCCATCGCTTACACATTGAATCAATTCTACGCGGTCAAGGACGATAAGTCAATCTTCCACGTCATGTTTAACGATGAGGTAAGCAACGATCACGCCCGTTTAAAAGTATTAAAAACCCATACTTCAAAAAAAGCACTAATTTCAGCCCTACGGTACCGTATCCATGTCGTCGCAGCAGGCCAACAGGATTAGCAGCCGGATCGACCCGATGAAGCTGGCGGTGCAGTTTGGCCATACTAAAGGTAGGCGTTGCGCGCGCTCTCTCTCTCTCTCTCTCGCTCTCTTCTACGCACTCTGCCACTCTCGCTCTTTCACGCGCGATCGCTCTCGCGCCCTTTCACAAATAATTTTTTCAGGAACCCTCTTCTTCAATGGCCAAACTGGTGTCTGGCTCGTCCACTCAGTCCCGAAGTTCCCCCCTCCGGATCAGTACCAATACCCGGATTCCGGACGTGACTATGGCCAGACGATGTTGTGCATGAGCTTCAAGTACGCTCAGCTGAAGGATATCGGTAAGAGATTTAGAGAGCGAGTGAGAGAGCGAGAGAGAGAACAGGAGAGAAAACGAGATGAATTTTCAGGCACACAGCTCTACTACAACCACCCCGACATCTACTCCTCGAACTTGCCGACCACGATGGCCGCGGCCAACCCCGACTTGGCCAAGGTATGCTAGAGAATACAATTTTAAAGGGACGGTGTCACCAAAAATTTCCCGCAACTTAAAAATGGCCCTTTAGCTGATCACCGGAGACTACCAAAAAGGAGCCGCAGCCACCTCCTCGATGACGCTGACGACGGCTGGCGGCCAACAGTTCAAGTCGTTTGCCAAGTCGGCTGATTTCAACGATGGTAAGCCTAGCAATGATGCGGGAGGATCTAGAGGAGTCTGGGCTAGGCCCAAATTAAGCCTGAGTTTTTCAACTTCAACTTAAGCCTTATGTCTAAAGCTAAACCTAAGTTTACGGTCCTAAGCTAAGCGTAAGCTGTGCCTAAGCTAAGCCTAATTTGCAGATTTGTACTCCAAATTCCTGGCACCAAGCCTCCGCACTCCGTTCCTCGTCGAAAGCTGGCGACGTGGCAGTGAAGTTCCGTTGGATTGCGGAAACGCGTACCCGGTTAATGATGCCCTGTCGATCAAGGTATACTTGTAGTTTGTAGCGTATTTAGTCGTAAATTTTCAGCTGCAAATATCCTTAAAAATTGCGTTATTTTAGGTCGGCGCCAGCCTCGAGTTCAAGTACACAAAGGACCACAGCAAGCTGGCCAGGTCGGCGCTGAAAACGAGCCCATATGTCTGCATTGGAGATATTAACCGAATGGTAAGATACCTTGCTACTAACGACGCCACTTTACTGTTGATGTCGTTAAAATAATCCAGCATACTAAAAGTGCATGAAATTCTTTCAGCATTATTTTTTGGCAAAAACAAACCGGAAAAGAGTTTCTTTGAACGATTTTTTTTACCGATCCTAATTAGTGACATTTTAATAATTATAAGACGAAAACTGGAAGTTATTATGGCGACAATATTACGTTCTAGACATCCCAATACGTGCGTGGAGGCGGCACTACCTGCTTGATGAACGCCAAGGTCTGGCAGGCGTTCGATGTGATGGCCACAAAGAATACATGCTAAGCATTATAGCCTTGAATAAACTGTATTTATTCGAATGTAGACAAAGAGAGAGAAAGAGAGAGAGAGAGAGAGAGAGAGAGAGAGAGAAACTGCCTTCACCAAAATTTACCATGTACAAAGTTCAGATCGAGTCGAAGGTAACCGTCCGCTGCTGAGATAGCTGTCGTGTCTAAAAATCGTGATTTCTGAAACCGTAGTAACAATTTGGTGATTCCAAGAGTTAACTCTTCGATCCAACAAAAAATCACCGCTAAAAGTACCTGCAAAACCTTCGTTGTAAAGTAGGTGCTGCGTCACTACATAGGAAAAAATGCGGTTCAGCTCTCGCTCGACCGCACTGATCAGCGTGTTTTTGAAGGTTTGAAGCCTCCTAAAATTGGGTATTTATAATTCTTTGCTTGGCTTAATAGCCAGACCGGAAAGACAAAAAACCGGTTTTGTTTTATCCGGTTTGTATGTGTTATTTTTTGTCTAGATCTATTATGGTCAGGGAAAGGGGTAGATGCTCTCAATTTCATGGCCCGGAAAGTGAAACCCAAACGGTCAACTTACTCCGGGTACAAATATCCAATCACCGAGTGCGTCTGCCGAATATCAGCTTGAATATTGGAGATCCCTCCCAATAGGACCGTTCTATTCAAACGACCACTTAGATCGCAAGAGAAAGTCAGCACTAAAAGTATAGTTAGTCTCTTTTAACTCCTAAGAAATTACTTAGAGTCGCCAGGGATCCATTAGACTTTGGATGGGTATGGAAATCGAGCTGTAGTTCGCCTGTCATATGCGCAATGTTGTCAGCTAGTACTACCTAAATCGATCGAATCTCAGATATAACTTTACGTGTTTCGGAGACTTATATGCTTTGACCAATTTAACCTACCTTCGGCGTCTCCCTGGCTTGAACGTAGATGTCAAGGTATTGATTTGGGTACATCCTAGCCAGGTCTGGCCAAAACGTTTGCATGCAGATGTAGTTGGAGTAGGAGTAGCATCTGGAAAGCGACTTGGGCGCTAGCTCTTGTTAGCTATTGTTGCGCGCGTGCAGCTGCGTTTGCGTGTGTGAAGCTCAGCGGAGCGCGGCGCACACGCGACGCGTTCCAAGACCAAGCAATGGTAGAAAAATTGTCAAGTATCGGTGCGAATTTGATTTTATTTGATTTTTCCCAGCCTAGAGGTGGCACATCCACTCGTGGACTTGCATTGACACCTAGTGAATGCGGCATCTGTGTAAAAATACGCAACGTGTTCGCGACGCGTCCAAGGGCTAAACAACCCCCTTCAAGAAGTTCCTAGTGTTTTCCTTCCAGTTTCCTTCAGATTCTGAGGTTTTAAGTCTTCTTAAAATTCAAATTAATACCAACTCACGTGGTCCTCAAATATTCCGACAGCTCCAGCCGAACCCGATCCTTCGTGACCAAATACGTCAAGAAATTTCCACGGTACAAGGCGTACAAGTCACAGTTCAGGCTCTGCTCCGATAGCCAAAAATTTATATGGGAGGTGGTATCCATACCTTAACAATATTTGCGAAATTTTCGAATTATAACTTACTTCTCGGATACTTTGGTGCCTCATAGGGACATTTCTCCCTCAAAAATTGGAGGTTAAAAGCGAATTGGGCTTCAGAAAACCTTCTAAAAAATTGTGGGGTTGCTAATTTTGTGAAATTGACATTATAATGCAAAAATTAGAAAAACGTTTTGAAATTGGACATAACAAAGAAGGCTGCAACCTACTCGGTATGGAGCACGTTGAATAGTGGCGTTTGTACGAGATACTCACGCCGATCTCTGAAACGATTTTCGCCGTTTCCAGATTTTTTCAGGTTATTTAACTTTTCCTGATTTTATTTTAGGCTTGGAAAAAACTGTTTAATTTTAATAAATAGATTACATAGATCTTACCCGTATTGCGTTTCCACCGGAAATGAGTGCTCGCCAAAGATACTGGGCTTCACCACGTTTTCCAAGGAGTTACAGATCTAGAAGGAATAATGCATGAATGGATAAACTAAAATTATCAATAATCAACAAAATTATAAAAATTATACCTCTGTTCTGAGCAAATTCTGTACCACGCGATTTATCACACCTCCAAAAATGTCGAGGAAAAATGGGATTTTTGAGGGGAACCTGGTAAAAGAAGCATAGTCTCTGATGAAGAACGTACTCGATGTCCAGCCCCGACAAATCGACGTTGCAGTTTTCATATTTGAACCCAATATAACCATCTTTTTGTTGGAAATTGGCTAGCGCGGAAGCTTTTCCATTGCGGAGCCGGGCGATCACTTTCCCGGCGTACCAAATCTTCGGCCCAATGTTGAATTTTGATAGTGGCCAGATCGGAAGGCCGAACTAAATGGAAAATTCTTATACAAATCCGGCAATACAAATAAAAATGGTTTCTTAACATGTTCTGAAATACACATTTGGCAATAATCAACCGAGTTCATTGTTTTTTATTACGCCAACTTCTTTTCCACAAGGTCTTTGAAGGATAATGCAACAAATCAGACGAAATGCTAGCTTCTATATACAAATTTAATATGGAAAAATACAAAAACATCAGCCGAATAACTTACAAATAAATTCTTGAACGAAAACTCCATATCTGCATGAATATCGACGATGAATTTGTCTAGTTTTAATATGATTCCATTGTCAGTGGATTCGGTGTAGAAGCTAAAATACGAATTCCATCACTCTCGCTCTCTCTTGCTCGTTCTCGCCCGCTCACTCTCTCTCTCTCTCTCTCTCTCTCTCTCTCTCTCTCTCTCTCCCTCTCTCTCTACCTCGGTGCCTCGAATTCTCTAATTATCGCCTTCCTCGTCGTCAATACAAAAATCCCAGTCTCGATGTTCTGATCCGGGAGTACGGTCCGATTTATCCATTGTTGGCTTTTATACGTTAACTAAAAATACTAGATTATTGTTTGTTGTTTTTGATCTTACAAATCGTGTAGCCGCTTCAGCTCCAAATTTCTTTCCGTTTTCATTGACGCGGAAAATGAGGTTTGTTTTGTCAGAGCTTTTCGCAAAAATAGTAATAGTTAGGTAGCCGAAAAAGAGTAGAAATATGAATATCGATCGCATCTCAAGCTGGGGTGGGGTTCGAAATGGAACTCGGGGGCGGGTCAGAATACTTCAAAAAGCGCTGATAAGGGCGTGAAAAACAGGGTGTACCTTTTGAAGGGATGTGCCAAAAATGCATGACAAAAACTTATTGTCATTTAAACTTGGGGACTATGGTTTTGATGCATTGCTTTGATTTCTCAATACAAAACACCACCTTTAACACGCCGAAGACAGATCGGATCGCAAGGGTAGTTACGCCATTCTAAAGCCCTTGAAACGGCGAGTTTGTAATTATCTTCCTAAACCGTCTTTTGTTATTTATGCCCGCTGTTACAAGTCATTTTGTAACATTTTGCGGGTTTTTGGGATCGCTTACGAGCCAATTTGCCTCAATTTCTCCAAGCAAAAGGACCGGCAGTGGCCGTTGATTAGCTTCAGCAGCTTTCCGTACTGTTTTTAAATGCGTTGTAAAGTGACGCCTACAAATAAAAAGCTGGTTTTCAAGCTTGTGGCAAACTGGCCGTTTCAAGGGCTTTTGAATGGTGTAAATATATCATGCCAATCCGATTTTTCTGCGCCGGGTTAGAGGGGGTGTTTTTTATCGGGACGCCCTATGTGGAACTGTATTTTTTTGAGTTGCCATTAACTGAAAAGATTCACAAAAACAATTTATTAATTTCAAGAAAATTGGAGAGTTTGAGGATATGGATAACGGCTCACATGATCACACGCAGACCCTCTTCCCAACCGTTTTCTCGATCCAGTCACAATAGCAGGACAGATCCATGCCGGCCGCTGAAAAATGTTTTGTTGAGGGTCATTTCGGGCTCCTGATGGCATCAAACTCAAACTCAAACCAACTTCTTTGGCCAGCGGCCGCATCACAGCCAAGTCCATCAACTCCCGGTCCCCGGACGAGACTTATTTGCACCGGTCCCAGGCCGTCGTTACGTTCGGAGACGATCGGACTTCCGGAATCTCCCTGAAATTTGTATTGCCATTTTCCTATTGCAATTTTTATTTCAAAAACGCGCAAAGTCAGAATCACTAAAGCACAAATCGGTTCCTTCGCATTATCGGAGGAGACCAATTTTTTTCTTAGGTTATATTTTTTCAAATATAAATGGTTGAAAGGTTTGTGAATATTTTTACTATTCCAAAACGTAAAAACTGTACAAATTTTTACTAAAAAATTTCAGAAACATAAATTTTTTGGACCAAAAATGACCAATTTTTGACAAATTTTCTGCAAATTTTTTTGTTTTTAGATAGTTATTCGTGTTGAAATATAGTTTGATATTACGGAAAACCCCCTAAAAACAGTTTATATTACGTTACTAGGCATTTCTAAAATCAGACAAAAAATCTTGCCCCCCCCCCCCGAAAAACCTTGCCCCCACCGATAATGCGAAAGAACCCAGAAATCGAACATTTCCCGTTTCACCAATTTAGGATATATTTTATACATTCTGAAATCCAAAATTTTGATTTTAGATATACTACTCAGGCGTAACTCACACCACAAGCGCTCGAGATCCCATCCGTTGACTTGAAACAGAGGTGCCTATAGACGCGGTTATCTTGCCCTTTGCACTGGTCTTTGGCGAAAGCAGCTGAGTAACGCTTCAGGGTGTTGGAACGATCCTCAGAGCCATCAGACGTCGTGATGCTCCAGCCCATGATCGAGATTTGGTCGGGTCCATAGTGATCGGCGGTTTTGGCGATCTGGATCTTGTCGACAGTGCCAGCATCAAAGTCTAGTGGGCTGGCGAGCTGAATTTGGGCGCACTTTAAAACGATTTTTCTTCAATTCCTACCTTTAAGAGCGCTACGTCATGATAGAGATTGTATCTCGTGTCGTTCCGAAAGTACTCAACAGCCGTTACGTTGATTCGCTGCTGAAATAAATTTTAATAGTAAGCATGGTATGTCACGAAAAGCCTTAAAGGAGACTTTTTGAGTGTCGTCCGTACTTCGGGATGGGGTCAAGCATGTCTTGTGCAGAATTTTGCGCTGATTCCGAATACGGTTTTCGTTTTTCACAAAAACCATATTAGAAAAGTTCTAAACGATTTAAACAAAAAAGGCACTTGTCAGCCGCTGTCGACGGACATAAAAAGCTTCGGATTACGTTTTATAAAAAATCCAGCTAATGCACCTTCTTCACGAAAAATTTTCTGTAAGTTAAGCTACCGTACTCAAGAATCTGCAATTTTGAAAATTATGCTAGGACTAGGGGGATAAAAATGTAGAAAATTTTTGTATTTTTTCGGAAATTTTGATTAAAAATGTGACCTTTATAGAGGATTGTTTTTCTGAACACTAGCTAACTTTTGAACCGATTCCGAAGCCTTTTATGTCAATCGAAAGTCGCCGATTTGTGGGGTTTTTAGGTTCAACCGTTTATAGGTTTTGAGGAATGGCTATTTCGCAAAAAATGGTAGACATATTCGGCCTCAACGCAAAATTCTGAACAGGTTAGGCTGGGTCCCGAAATAAAATCCGCCAAAGCTTTAAAAGGATCTCTTGTCAGTCGTTCTATTATCTAAGAAATTCCTGGTACTCATTACCTTTTTCCCACCGTACGCATCAGTCCGAATTGATCCCGCAAGGATCGACATCGTTTCTGGTTCCCTTGTGCAATGTGCGGCAGTCAATGCCCATTCCTTATCGATAATCGAGGCTCCGCACAATTGAAAATATGCGTAAGGCCCCACGCTAGAATTGAAATTAAAGATGGGCAAAGGATTTCTCCGCCCATAACAGGAGAAATACATAGGATTTGCGCATTCTTTCAACAAAATGACTGGTCGTACTCACTTTAATTGAAGAGCAGCAATGAATGGGTATTCGCCGGCTGCCACTGTGTTGTCATTCACTATCATCAACTAGGAATATGAAACGATTAACAGACTATTTGTCTCTCTCTCTCTCTCCCTCTCTCTCTCTGCGATCGCTATGCGGTAAGACCCCCAGAAGATCCCCCAACTGACCACCCAACTTTTGTATCTCGGCTTCCCTCGATCGTAAAAAGGTCTAAGGTATACCAAAAGGTTTCCCCTCTCCTGGCGGGTATTTTGGTATACCTTACAGACCTGTAGGGCATATAATAGCCAAGATACAGTGCGTTGGTCGACGGGGAGGAGGGTGACCCAAAAACCCCAACTTACAGGTCTTGCCGAGGCGCCAACCGCAAATATGCATAGCAGCAAAATCCTAGCCACAAGCAGAGTCATTTTCTGTGAATTGGTTGGGTGTAGAGGTTTCAGTGGCACGAAATGATTTTTCTGACTGTCTGTGCGGTGAACTTTTAGTTATCAATGAGATGACTGAACACTAAAGGTGGGTCGGAGAGGCCGTTGCGTTCAATTCCGAATCAATAATTTTCTGGTTCCTGCCCGATCGTGAAATTTGAATTTGTACCAGAACCAAAGGAATGCGACGATCGTATTCGTTTGGACTAGAGTGAGGGAGGCCTAGGCTAAAGCCTAGGCTTGCCTAGGCATCCTCAGGCTTTTTAAATTTGCATCGCCTAGGCTGAGCCTGGGCTATGCAAAGTACGCCTGACCGCTAATTATTCAGGCTTTATCTGGAAATTTTATGTAAAGTCGTAGGATATTCGAAGTTTTGCCGAACAAATAAGGAATTTTTTTAAATTTCCGGGGGGTCGAAGAGCTGTATTGGGTCCAAGAATATTCTAAAACGTTAGGTTACTGTTTTTGACAAATCTTACGGCACGATACGTTAATGCCATGCGGATACAAAAAAGCCAAGAGTCGGTTCGAACGGGCGGGGGATGCAATTGTCTCTCCTGACAACTTGCCTATATTTTTCCCACCTTCGGCATCCTTGTAATTTGTTATTGCGTCAAAGATACCAAATTTTTAGATGCAAGTAACCAGATTAACATGTTTTTACGCATTGCATAAAAAGCCTGACTAAATCCTTAGGCTTCCGCCAGGCGTAGGCAGGCGCGGAAATGCAATTCGGCCCAAGAAAGCCTGAGGAGGCCTGCCGCTCCCTCACTCTAGTTTGGACAGACGTATACGTCACGTCGGGAGAGTAAGCGAATTTGTATGTAAATTGATCTTACGAAATAAATCTGGGAAAATTGAAACAAATGCTTAGGATATGCATAATTTGAATATATTTAGAGCCGATCTTGACACAGTTTGACACGATTGATCAAAAGATCACAGGGCACAGTTTGTGCCTTGCGCGGATCGGATGCAAGTCCATGCGAACCCATATCCAAGAAAATCCACGGGCAACTGTAGTAATTGTCCTGGCTTTCTTTGGCTTGGCCATGACTGGTACGTTTCGCAAGTTTTCGAAAATGTAAGTGTTTACTTGTTTCACTTGCTTTACGTGTACAGGGTGGCTAAAAAGTATTTGCCGCAGGGAAAGCTCCTTAAGAAATTCTCCGTGTCCGGCTTCTTTGCCATTTTATAACCAAAATGTAGCAAACAGACCCCTCTTTACGACTATCAAAAAGACTAAGACCCTAGACCTCAGATTTTTAAGATACGGTCCTTTAGAGGTGTACCCAAACATGGGCCTGCGCCGCACGTATTTTGACTTTAGTGTTAATCTTCTCAATTTTTGCTTGCAACCAATCAGAACAGAAATTTGGATTTTTGTTTATTGCAAGGCCCTTATTAGACGTATTAACCAGAAAAATTCGTTTTAGCCGTATCGAAAAGTTTTTCGCTATTTTCTTGAGCGCCTAAAATGAGCGGAACAAGGTGTTTTTGGAGCACAAATACAAAATGTCTTAAACAACCACGTTTTTATGCGGAAAATATTATTTCTGTTGTGGACGCAATAAAACCAACCGCGTGGATAGGAAAAACTCATTGGGATAGCCGTAACTAAAATTATTGCGGGCACAAAATAATAATAAGTTGCACTTTCTTGCCGTTGGTTTCGAACGATCTTCAAATGATTGAGGCCGGCGTTTTCAATTATTTTGGTCCTAGTCAAAGTGTCAGCCTGGTAGGCTTATGCATTATCTATATTTTAATAGTAAATTTAGGGCAAGTTTTCGAATTAATGATTTTTAAAATCCGTTTTTGTGCGGCAGATGGTTGCCAGCCACGAATCTCGGCGCACCCCACTAGCAAAATTTTACTTTCACTTCCGTGATCCATCTAAGTCTCGCGGTGCCCCGAGCATAATTTTTTTAGATAGTTTCGTTAATGGTTTCTACAATACAGCACCGGAAAAGAATAAGATATCCCCTAAGAAATTTTTCGAGGCTTTCGAAAGTGCCGAAAACCAATACAAAAAACGAGGTTTTATGTATTTCAGTCTAATTAAAATTATACGAGCAAGCATTTGCTAGTTTTTATATATCAATCGATAGAGCAAAAAATGCTCTTCCGAATGCACCCCACTAATGCACCTGTCGTTGGAATTTTAGCAGATTAAAACCAGCGCCAAAACGCGGCAAATACTTTCTAGCCACCCTGTAATTATCATACTTTAGATTAGTGCTATCTGAACAACAATTTATTTAGTCGGACTAAGTTCATGGCTTAATGAATTCCGTTTCAGCCTAGTATTCGTCAATGAGGCCGACGCAAATCTTTTTTCCAATCGTTTCCTCGATCCAGTCGCAATAGTAGGATAGATCTTTCCCGGCCGCTGATAATCAACTTTTAAAACGGGGCTTGAACTAGCTGTTTCGAAAGCAGTAAAGAGACAGAGAGAGAGAGAGAGAGAGAGATAAAAAATTCAATGGCGAACACCAAATACTAACTGTTTTGGCCGCTGCTCGCATCACAATCACCCCTATGGAGGCCCGGTCCGTTAACCAGACTGATTTGCACCATTTCCTTGCAGCAAGTACGTCGCGATACGATCGGACTGCCGGAGTCTCCCTGAAAGTATCTTCAACCATACTTTAAAGGCTCTTTCGGCAGTATACCCTTTTCTAAAAATAGGCCATAAATTTTCATGCGATGCTGTTTAAGCGCGATTCCGATGAGTAAAAATGTTCAACGATTACTGCTGAAGTAGTGCTACCAACCTTACATGCATTCGAGATACCATCCACAGCCTCAAAGCAAAGATAGTGGATGCCGCGTTCTTCCAACGATGTGCAGTGCTCGTTGTCTACTTGCACCGCGGGGTAACCCTTAAGGGTCTTAGACGGTTTTCCTGTACCATTAGCCAGCGTCACACCCCATCCCATGATGAAGACGTCGTCCGGGTCATCTGATCCTTTCTTGGCGCCGATCCGGATCTTTTCGACGGCTCCGGGCAGCAGTTTGAGTTTCTGGCTCAACTGAAATGAACGTTAAATCATAATTTGGTAAATCATACTAAAAAGTTTCATGTCTTCCATGAATTTTTAGCGTAGCCGGATGCACAAGATAATTTTTAATCGGGAAAATGATTTGCTATCAGTTTTCCGAAATTGAATTTTGTCGAAATCTTTTTTTCGATCAGTGTAGTGAGTTTTTGAATTTGCAAAATGTTTTAGATAAATAATTGAGGCGAAAAAAGGCACTAAAATTTCCACTAAATAAAATCTCGACAAAACTATGACTGTCAAATAGAAAATGAGCTCGGGAAAACAGATATTCTAACCTTCAGTAGTGCAACATCATGGCCCTCCGCATCGCTGTCTTCTGGCGCATATCGCTCAATGGTTTTGACATCGATTCGCTGCTGAAAATCATTTTCATTTCAATATCTTTTTAAGCGTTAAAAGTGTATATTTTTGATGTTTAAAATTCATTGTTCCATACACCCTGATTTCTGCCACCCACCACGACGTCAGTCTCATTGTCATCCCTCCGAATGGCGCCCGCCAAGATTGAGATGTTGCCCGACCCTGTGCAGTGCCGGGCTGTCAGCACCCACTCTTCGCCTATTATCGAGCCTCCGCAACCACGAATGTCGGTTTCGGAAATTCTATGAATTTATGATTTTTTTAGGTTTTAATTTGAGTTGACTTTTTTAATCGTTTTACTCACGTTCTGGTAAGAGCCACGATATATGGAGCCTTGCCGGGTTTGAGTTCGTCGCCGTTGACGATCTTCGACTAAAACAGATAATTTAAAGTTATTAGAATGCTTATTCATTTTTTCGAAGTTGAAAAGCAGTAGAACAATAAGATAGCAGATCATCACTTACCGGTCCCGCCGCGATCCCAACCGTATAAGACAGGAAGGCTAAAAATTGCAAGGCTCCAGTCATCGTTCGTTTGGCGATTTTCCATGAAGTTGAATTTTATTTGGTGGAAAGTCATACAAAATGCCGCTTAATCAGCGCAAACGTCGCATCTTCAACCTGAGACACTGTTCGTCAGCTTTCAAAAGAAAAAAAAATTCTTGGGATTCTTCAATCAACGAATTTTTGTATGACATCAAAAAGCAACTGATTGCCAAGGTCTCTCTCTCCCTTTCGCTCTCTCCACCTCCTCTCTCTCTCCTCTCTCTCTCTCTCTCTCTCTCTCTCTCTTGTTCGCTACATAATTTTTTACTGTCGGCAAGATCCGAAATTTAAATGTACCTGACAGCAAATCCTTGCCACTTTTTCCCCTAATTGGGGAAGCATGATTCATCCCGACGCTTTCCAAGAACACCCCAATTTTGCAAGGAATCAGCAAGAAAAATGTAATTATATTTGTCTATATCAACCAATCCCAAAAATCCTAAAGTATCAACCTCAAGAGGTCCCATCAAAATGGAATGCAACCTGATGCTGGTAATACTTGTTCTTCTGATCGGAGTTGAAGCTCGTATACAGGATGTTGACGTCCACAAGATGGACGAGTTCAAGCAGAGAGTGATGAAATGGAAACGTACGTGTATTTATTTTTGTTTTAGCTCTCTCTCGCCCTCGCTTTCTCGTCAGAACTAGCTATTTTCAGGATTTTCCGGTCGCGACGGCGAGGTCCACGACACCTTGACCCCTGAAAACGCCGCTGATCTTCTGTTCTCGGCAGGGTGGCGTACGGTAGCCGAAATTAACTCGATGCCTGCTGAGGACAAGCGAAATACCATCATCGTCGAGCTACACAACCGACTAGCTGAAACTATTGGATACTTACAGGTGAGCTTATGGCCTAAAAATTAGGGCTGCGAATTTTGGGGTTAAATCATGACGCTAGCTTAAACTTACTATTTATATTACGTAACGAAATGCACCTTTAAAGGGGCGCGACACCTCGACTCTCGTGGCTGCCGGCGGGCTTTACCTGATCCTGAAAAGAAATGGCTGGAGGAAAGAGGATGAGTTGCGTGGAATGAGTATTGAAGATACCCGGAATACTTGTATCGTGGAATTGGCCAACAAAGGATACGGTACCGGAAGCGAGCTACAGGGACTTGCGAATCGAGAGCTAGTCGTGAAGGCGGCTAATTATTATGAGAAGAGCAACGAGCCGTCTAGGTAAGTGAGAGAGAGATAGAGAGAAAGACAGAGAGAGCGGATTTTTCAGCGTAATCTCCATGACCCTCCACTTCGACCAGGTCCAAATCCAGAAGCAGTCCCCAAAAGTCCTCGCCGTGCGCGAATTCGACAATTCACAAAGCTCCGAGACCCTCTTCGAGACGTTCAGCTTTACCGAGACGAATGCTGAAGAAGAATCGCTTGGATATAGCGATGAGGTCACCAACAACATCTGCACGAAAGTCGGCATCTCGTTTGGGGTTAGTGGAATTCTATTGGATCGAAAATGTATAAACGGAAAATGAAAAAGCAGCTGCCCGCGCTAACAGTCCAGTACCATAATTTCTTCAGGTCACCGCCCCATTCTTCTCCACCAACGCCAATCTGGAGCTCGAGGTCTCGCAGGGGACCACCGAGACTTGGACGACAAACCGGAAACAGAGCCACACTGTCGAATTCAAGACCGAGAACCGCGTGGAAGTGAAGCCGTGGAGCAAGCTTAGGGTGCAGCTGGTCATCTACATGGCTAAGGTGCAGATTCCGTTTACGATGGAGATTATGACCAAGACTGGACAAAAGAAGACTGTCACTGGAACTTATCAGAATGTTCGATCTTATTATAGTCATGTGGAGCAGAAGAATATTTATGGGGTGAGCGCCAGCAGTAAAAGAACGTGAAGCCACTCTCTCTCTCTCTCTCTCTCTCTCTCTCCATCTCTCTCTCTTTTTCTCTCTCTCATTATCGTGATTGCGATACAATGAATGGTTTCTGTTTTTCCGAGATCAATTTGTTAACAATTTTATTGCTTGTTTTCCTCGGAGTTGCGAACAGAAAAGTTTATTCGGCAGGTTGGATAGGACTGGGATTCTTCAATCAACGAATTTTTGTATGACATCGAAAAGCAACTGGTTGCCAAGGTCTCTCTCTCCCTTTCGCTTTCTCCACCTCCTCTCTCTCTCTCTCTCTTGTTCGCTAGAGAATTTTTTACTGTCGGCAAGATCCGAAATTTAAATGTACCTGACAGCAAATCCTTGCCACTTTTTCCCCTAATTGGGGGAGCATGATTCATCCCGGCTCTTTCCAAGAACACTCCAATTTTGCAAGGCTGGACATCGTAAAGAGACCGTTTGCCAAGCTTTTTAAGGGGATTCAAAGGTGGTTCGTTCCCTGTATTAATGAATTAAAAACTTCAGCGCCAGTGAACCATTAATTAACGCTTGCGCTGTAAAGACATGGGAAATCGCCGACCCCGAAAGACGCCAACGGCAAGGATTGAATGCAGCCAAAATCCCAAGCCGACACACGCATTCTTTGTTCTGAGTGGTTTTAGTAGCTTGTCTTAGTAGCACAAAATGCAAAATTTTCTCATTGTCCTTTAGACAAAACTCTTTGTCTCCCCAAAATTATGTCCTGGAAATGTTGCGGAATTCAGAAAATGAAAGCATCGATCGTTTCTTGGTTTACCAAAGCGAAAGAAGACGCCTTTTTTGTGGTATGAACTTGCAGAACAGTCTATTAAATGGACAGCAGCTTACGCGGCTTTTCAAACATATTAAAAATCGAAAACGTCCACGCACATCTTCTTGCCAATCGTGCCCTCGATCCAGTCGCAGTAGTTGGATAGAAGGTTTCCCGCGGCTGTAAATGTTTCATTTACCGGGCAAGGGTGAGAGAGAGGGAGCGAGAGAGAGAGAGACAATGGGAGAGAGAGAGATAGAGAGATAAAGAGAGAGCGAGTGAAAGATGGCAAGGGTAAACTGATCAGTAGGCAATCCAGAAGACAGTGGAAGAGGGATTAGCTTCCAAAACATACTTTTTTGACCTGTGATTGCATCACAGTCATTCTTGGTACCGCCTGGCCCATTCACCAAACTAATTTGCACGATTTCACTATTGAAGGTACGTCGTGCTACGATAGGACTGCCGGAATCGCCCTAAAATTCTTTTATCTATCCAAACAAATTCGAAAATCATGATGTCGAGTAAAATAATGTCGAAAATCTGACTTTAAGAAAACGGAAAAAGTCGACATATTGAGATTGTTAATTAAGATTAAAATGCCCATCGTATGATAGCAACTCAGCAACTTACGCCACACGCGCTCGAGATGCCATCTACTGGCTCGAAACAGAGATACTCGGACAGGCGTGTTCGCGCCCCTTTGCAGCGTTCCCAATCGATCTGCGTAGCCGCGTAACCCTTGAGGACAGTGGAACCATTTCCGCTTCTATTACGGTTCGTCTGGCCCCATCCCATGATGAAGACCTCATCAGGATCGTAGGCCCATTTGCTGGCTGCGATCCGGATTTTCTCGGTAGTGCCGGGTTGGAGACTGACCTTGCGCTCGAGCTGAATAATTGCGGATCATTTTCTGAGTAGTTTACGGGGTTGAAAGTACGCCCTACTAGCGTCGCTAACAAACGATACAAAGATGGTTGTTTTGGCTTTTTTACACAGTTTTTAGATATAAAAAGCTTTCATAACACTTATAAAAATTTGTTGTCGAATTTTTTTGGTTTTTCGAGATGAAATTGCACGAAGCACGAAGATGACGAAATCCAAAGTCCAAATGTTTGAATTATTTTCTGGATTTTCCTAGCATCCAAAAACTCCCAAAGCCACTATAAAATGTACTATATCTGGCTAAGCGAGAAATGGCGTATTTAAAGACGATAATAAGCTCATAAGAGTCTTTTTATCTAGCTAAGACTCTCAGTCACCAGAAAGCTCTTGATACCTTCATTAAAGCCAGATCATTTTTTGCAACGGGGTAGGGCCTGATATCCACCACGTTGATACGTTGCTAAAAATAATTTTTCATCGTGAAATTAATTTGATCCGGCCGACCACAGTTTCCGTTTCGTTAGCGTCTGTTCGAATTGCGCCGGCTAAGATCGACAGTGGGGGTTCAAATTCTTCGTGACAATGCGCGGATGACAGCACCCATTCTTCATCGATAATTGAAGCTCCACATAGCTCCGCATCATGGGTGCCAGAGGGGAGACTTCAAATGGTTTTTGAAGCTTTGCAAAATGTCCCAATCAACAACAGCCTCTCTACCTCGACGCAGAAGTACCGGATCGGAATACACCCATCGTGAACGCTTGAAACGGAAAGTTTGCAACAATCTTCAAAACCATGTTTTTGTTTGAACGCGCCATTTTATAATGCATTTAAAAACATTATGGAACGGACTCTACATCTAATAGACGGCTACTTCCGGTCATTTTTCTTCGGAAACTTGAGGTAAATTGGCACGTATGCAGCCTCAAAAAACGGCAATTCTTAACAAAATGGCTTTTAAGACAACTAGTTGAAATAAAAACATGGTTTTGAAGACTGTTGCAAACTCGCCGTTTTAAGGGCTTTCGAATGGTCTAACTACCATTCCGATCCAATACTTCTGCCTCGAGTTCGAGGGTTGTTTTTTATGGAGAGACCCTGACCAACTTTTGTTGAAGAGAAACAATGTAGGGATATTTCCCGGGCTCAATTCTTCGCCATTGACGATTTTTGACTAAAGAATTTCACCAAATTTTTGACCAAAAATATTAAAAGAGTTGACTTACCGGTCCCGAAGCGACTCCAATTGCCCAAGTTAGTAGCACAAGATACTTGCAAAATGGGGCCATTTTTCCCGCCGATATGGGAGAAATTTTCGCTCCGTTCGTGTTTTATAGAGACCGTTCCATAATATAAACGAGCCTCTTCCATTGGCTTCGCAATTAGTCAACTTTGAAACCCTGAATGCAATCAAAACCAGCACCTTTAGAAATTCTAGAAATTGCCGTCTTTACAAAAAAAAATACAAAACAATACAAACCACGTGTTTCAGCGCAGATTGAAAAGCTTCAATAGTTTTGTAAAAGCCATTTGTGATGATTTTCTCTTTACTTTTGTTTTGTCTCTCTCTGTCTCTCTCTCTCTCTCTCTCGCTCTAAATAAATGGCTTGGCAATCGTGTAAATCAATGCGAAAAAACGATACCGTGTGCAAACAAATTTTTTTCGGCATTAAATAGTCATTTTGTAGCGAATACAAGAGGTATCCTGAAGGAACTAGATATATTCTCCAACTAACATTTACAGGAATCTATCGGAGTGGCGATGAGCCGCTTAAAACATCAAGGTCACTCAAGAGATTCCGTTGTCACTTTTCTCCCTAATTGGGGCATGATCATGAGAACGCTTCCCAAGAACCAACCGGTGTTGCAAGGAACCGGCAAGAAAATGCAATGGTAGTGCCCCATATCAACTACAGCCTGAAATCTTAGGATCCACGTCGAGCAAGCGCATCTATGGCTGGGAAATCGATACTGATAATCCTTGTTCTTCTGATTGGAGCTGAAGCCCGAAAGCAAGATGTTGGCCTCCACGAGACGGACGAGCTGAAGCAGAGGGTGATGAAGTGGAAAAGTAAGTGTATTGAGATGATGTCCATGTCTCTTTCTCTGCATCTCTGTCTCTCACACTCGCTCTCTCTCCACATCCATATTTGTTCCTTAATCTCTCATTCTTTCCCATTCTCTCTCAATCGATCTCTACTTCGGTTTTGCACTCTCTCTCTCTCCTTGTGTATAACTCCATCTCTCTCTATCTCGCACCACCTCTCTCCTCGCTCTCTTGCATACCCACTCTCTCGCTAGGTAAGGTCGACGCTTCGCCTGAACATCAGCAACAGGATAAATTCCTTCTAGGTATTTCCGGCCGCGACGGCGAGGTCCACGATACATTAACCCCGGAAAATGCGGCCGATCTTCTATTTTCTGCCGGATGGCGTACAGTTGCTGAAATTAACTCGATGCCCGATGAAGACAAACGAAATACGATCATCGTCGAGTTGCACAACCGACTAGCGCAGACGATCGGATACTTGCAGGTAAGCCAATGGCTTTAAAATTAGGGTTGTAGTCTGTGGGGCTAAATGGTTGCGCCAGCTAATACCTCTTCCTAATTCCATTAATGGCCAAAATACGCCTTTGAAGGGGCGCGATACACCAGCCCTAGTGGCTGCCGGCGGACTCTACCTCATCTTGAAAAGAAATGGATGGAGAAGAGAGGATGAATTGCATGCAATGAGCGTTGAGGACACTCGGAACACTTGTATCGTGGAGTTGGCCAACAAGGGATATGGTAGCATCCGCGAGCTACAGGGGCACGCAAATCGAGAGCTGGTCGAGAAGGCGGCGAACTTTTATGAGAAAAGCAACGAGCCGGCGAGGTAAGAGAGTGATAGAAAGAGAGAGAGAGTGAGAGAGAGAGAACAGAGAGCTTTTTTTCAGCGTCATCTCCATGACCCTCCACTTCGACCAGGTCCAAATCCAAAAGCAGTCCCCAAAAGTCCTCGCCGTTCGCGAATTCGACAATTCACAAAGCTCCGAGACCCTCTTCGAGACGTTCAGCTTTGCCGAGACGAATGCTGAAGAAGAATCGCTTGGATATAGCGATCAGGTCACCAACAACATCCTCATGAAAGTCGGCATCTCGTATGAGGTAAGTAGTTCTTTCCAGACACGGTTTTAAGCATTTACCTTCCCACAGTCAACATCAAATAGACAGAAAAATTTTAGATAAAAACAATTGAGGAATATAAAATTTCGAAACCTACAATTTTTTGGTTAAATTGTATGAAAAAGGTCAAGCGTGCGAACATTAATTAGCTCCCACCGGCTAACAACCCAGTACCAATATTTCTCCAGGTGACAGCCCCCTTCTTCTCCACCAACGAGAGCCTGGAGCTCCAGGTCTCGCAGGGGACCACCGAAACTTGGACGACAAACCGGAAAGAAAGCCACACAGTGGAGTTCAAAACAGAAAACCGCGTGGAAGTGAAGCCCGGCGACAAGCTGAGGGTGCAGTTGGTCATCTACATGGCCAAGGTGCAGATCCCGTTCACGATGGAGATTATGACAAAGACTGGGCAAAGGAAGACTGTCACTGGAACATATCATAATGCTCGGTCTTATTATAGTCATGTGGAGCAGAAGAATATTTATGGCTTGAGCGCCTGCGGTTAAGGGGGATGGGTTTAAGGAATTTACATTTTTTCTTTTTCTCTCTTTCTCAGTCGGTCTCTCTCTCCGTTTCTCTCTCGCGCTCTCTCTCTCGCTCTCTCTCCGTTTCTCTCTCCCTCTCTTCTTTCATCTCCCTCTCTGCTCTCTCTCGTTCCCCCTCTCTCACTCTCTCTTCTCTCTAACACTCTCTCTCTCATGCTCTCTCTATCACTCTCTCTCGCTCTCTTACTCTCTCTCTCTCTCTCTGCTCTCTCTCCGCTTCTCTCTATCTCTCTGTCCTCTCTCTTTTCCTCGATTGCCTTACATTTCCGTACTCTCCGTTATTCTATCTGCTTCCTTTCGATAAATTATTGTCATGATAAATCGATTTTAATGTCCTGTATTTGTCTTGTTTTGCGTTTAAATCAGCGTCTAAGCTTTTATTCAGTACGTACGAGTACGATTTACGTTTAAAAATCAAGCTACGGCGGCCAGGTGAGGTTAAATATTGGCCCCAAGATTAATTTCTTAAGTTGGACATTAGCGTAGCCCTCCGGAGAGCAATATTATTGGCGGTAGTTGGACAAGCTTTTTGAAGGTGTGGGCGGCATAGGCCCGAGGTACCCGTTGACGTTTTGATGCCAGACGCGCGCCAATTCAATCCATTTTTGACGTTATCGTCCGGAGAAGGTATGAGGATGACTCGTATATCGAATTCCGATCGCTAAAAGCTTTGTTCGCCTTTCTTCTCGCTTTTCACACGACACAAACAAGCTGATGCTGATGGTCAGTGATGGCCGGAAGCTTCTGCTGAGCTGACACAAACGAGCTGATGTATGCGAGATCGGTATGTTAATTGCAATATCAGCGCTGAAAAATGCGCGTTTTTAGCTAAACGCTTGATACCAAAAATGCTAAATACTTCAAAAAAACGAGATCCGCTTGTTTTCTGGCTTGTTAAGGGCTGTCGACAGGTATAAAAACCTTCCCAATCCGAGCTTGCTTGGGACCTCTAGGTAGGGATTGTTTTTTGGGACACCCCATAGTTTGGGACACATTATAGTTTGCAAAGACCAGTTGTATCAAAAATGAAGCTCAGTTTGAAACAGATCCCTGTAACTCTCATAGCGCCATGATGCGGAAAATTTCCCGAAGCACGTCTTGGCATCGGTGTGACTGTGTTAGTTATCAGTGGCTCCGCGAAAAACCAATTTCTGCAAAGAACGTTTTTGGTAAAAGTTCGTAAAAACCCACAATCTCCTTATTTTTCTAAATCCTTGCATGAAGGCAACCCCAATCTCCGTTTCGGCACGCCCAATCTGTAATGTTCTTTCTTTTTATCAAATCCTTGGGTGAAGCCCAACTCCGTCTTTCGCGCGTCCCAGGAGCTCATGCAAATCACAAGTAAGCCATGAGCGGATCCATTTTTATGTCCTCGTACACATCTTGAACAGGGTGCGTTTTCGACAACTTCCTTGCAGCAATTCGGACCGGCTTTCCGGCCTAAATTGATAATTTGAATGTGTTTTCGGGTCCGTTAAAGTCCCGTTAAAGAGTGTTGTGGCCTTTTTGAGTTATTGGCACAAAAATATATACCCATTTACTATCATTTCATTCGTTTCATACCCGTGTCCGGTAGATTAACAAGTAGTAGAGTCCAGCCAAGCCTCAAAATGGCTTGTCAATCAGTCCATTTTTCAATCGTCACAACTCGCGCAGCCCCAGGAGTCGTTCCACAATTATCAAAAGCATGGTGCGCAAAGCCGATGTTAAGCGACAGCGCTTCCAGCTGATGCTCCTAAGCTTCAGAACCCACTGGCCGTGCCCTTGTCCAAGCGTCTCGGAATACCTACTTGCTAGCTCCGAGATTAAAATTCTATTTAAGCATTTTGTAAATAAATTCAAATTATGAAGCAGGCTGCAGCTACCCAAAAATAGCGGGTTTTCAAGAACTCGTCATGTCGGTAAAATCACGCAAGGTGAGATCGCAACCTGAAATGGGGAAAATGATATTCAGGTAGATTTAATAGGTGCATTTAGCGTTAGAAAAAGTTAATCGATCAAAACAATCGGAACTACCAAACCAGCTGTGTGAAATTGTAGGTATGAAGGGTTGCTTTTCCGGCGCTTATCAGGAGTTCCGCCCGAAATTTGACAGGACTATTTTTATGCCGACCCGAGACTCAAAAAAAGCGTGGACTGTCTCTCTGTCTCTTCATGTCTTTCTCTCTATCTATCTATCTATCTCTCTCTCTCACTCTCTCTCACTTGCTGTATTAATAACAAAAAAACGAAATGTTAATGATAATGATTTTATTGTTTCATATCAGGTCGAGGTTTACTCGCATTTTGCCCTTGAATAGCAATTCCTCCTCGATCATTGGGTCAAGCCTAGTGTAGAGCGTCTCACCAGCTTTTTACTTCTTCAACGAACCGATGCCTGGGCTTAAAAATCTCAATTTTTTTTTAATTTTTTTTTTAATTTAGGTAGGGCACGCGTTACAGCTCCAGACTTCAGATGGTTTTATTAAAATTTCATAATAACCAGGTTACAAATCTCCGTTTTATCTTGTTATTGTTATGCTAATTATTCAGTGCTTGAGTGCTACTTCCATATAGTTTGGATTCTGTGGTGTCGGTTCGGAATGACAGGATCTTCGGTTTCTCCTTGTCGCCGCAGAATGAAGGTGTACTAATCTGGAAACTTAAGCTATCGAAAAAGCGTTTGACCGGCTTGGAACGTGATTGGCTGCGCCTATGCCTATCTGTTTATAATCTGCATTGCATTTCCAGAGTATTTTTAGTAGTTTTTGATTTTACGCCAAAAATTATTAAAGAAAATTGTTTTTTTCATCATTTTTTTGTCGGTACATTTTCGACCAAACTCATAAAGTTTTTTAGAACATTTTTTTGATTTTATGTGCTATTTACGCCTATTTTTATCGAATTTACGCATCCTAGGCAAGCTATGCTATAAAGCAACAACGCTCTCTAACGAGTAGTTTGTGAACATACCTTTAACTGATGGGCTCCTTTGACGCGGACCCGACGCGATTTTTATTTTTTATGATCTGAAGAGCGATACAGCAGTTGGCTTTTGGGCGTAGTTGCCTTGGTTTTCTTGGATAGTCGATTTTCTATTCCGTCAGCACCCGACGACGTTTCGGCATAGGTCTGTCGACAGTGTTCCTGAAACGGCAGCAATATTATTTTCGGAAATATAGAGCAATCCCTTTCTTCTATATAAAATTGGCCCCAGGGAAATTTGATAGATCTAGAACTGATTAGTAATCATAAAATTTAGCCTAGATTACAATTACGCTGCTAGTCGCAAGGTAAAAGATATCACGGTTACATACACATATGTACATGACTACGAATTAAAGGTACAGACTATCAATGATTAGTATTAGTATCGATCGTGTTGTATGATAGTTTAGATTATACAT